ATGAAACAAGCTATATGAATGGTTGAATGTGAAGCTGATGATGTGCCCTGTAAACTTTCACTCAATCCAAAATAAAAACATTTAATTAAAAAAAAAAAAAAGAGAGACACTATATAGAGAATTCACTAGACTTATGACAATGAAACCATCTAACATATTACGGAATTAATTTAGAACCAAGACTGGAAAATATAAAAACATTTTATACTTACTCATTTGACATAATTTTTTTGCCAGATGATAGTCTCGGTCCATTTCTGCTCTCAAGAACTGGAAAATATGAAGAAATTCGTTGATAAATTATTTCAACGGGAAACTAAATGTCAATTATAATGCCCTAGAAAAGATTACATTACTGATGATTTTGCTCTAATCAATCATCAAGGATATTTAAGGATCTCTTATGGCAAGGTAAGCAGCCATGGTGGTCAACTCATCTGCTAACTGAGAGGTTGACAGTTAGAACCTGTGGCTCCCAGGAAAAAGACCCGGAGATCAGCTCCTATAATGATGATAGCAGAGAAACCTTCTGGGGAAGTTCTACTCTGTCATATGCAGTTGCTATGAGTTGTAATCTATTACCCAACAGCATGGCAAGGCAAGGGAGACACTGGGGTTTCTCTGTCTTGTCTTCTATGTAGAAAGTAAAATTCATGAGGTCTGATTCCCTGCCAATGTACTTCAAGTATGGTTATCACCCATCTGTTAGTAGAGGCTTGTTGAGTGTCGTTATGATGCTGAACAGGTTTCAGGAAAAAAGGTCTGGTGTTCTACTTTTGAAAATCAGCCAATGATGAAAATCCTATGGATTATAATGGTCAATTTGCAACCTGCTCAGGGATGGTGCAGGACTGGGCAGTGGTTTGTTCCATTGTGCATGGGGTCACCAGGAGTCAGGGCCAACTAAATTGCAGTTAACAACAACCTGGCAAAATAACATGGTATAAGTATGATGCTTTCTGCTTTCCTAGAATCATACTTCATGTAGACCACTTATTAATTTGAGAGTAAGTAGACAGACTGAACTGGCATAGACAGTAAAGTGCTAAAATATTATGGATAGTATTTCTCTGCTTCAGAGTCAGCCTTCGCTTCTAAACTTAGTCTAGAATTACCCTGAAAATAGTTGAAAAAAAAATGTTGCCTTACAATTAAGTTTATTCAATTGTTTCCCCTGTATTCTTCTTATATCTAGCTGGTGGACACAATGAGCAGACCCTCTGTAATAAAGACATGGGAGATCAAGTGAAGTAGATACAGATAGTAATTCTGGAACCCTGAGCATCAGAGGATAGAACAGAGAGGTCGACCGAGTATCGACTAGAAGAGGAAGCTGAACAGGAGCAGTGAGAGAGAAGAGAGAAGAGAAATAGGCATGCTGTCAGCTGGTGCGGAGCAGCACAGCCATCTGGAGATTTTGTGAGCGGCTGTCAATACAGTGGCCCTCAAGCACAGGATGTAGCTGGAGACTGGCTGTAAGAGGGTATATGGTTCTCTCTTGCTCTGTGCCCTCCTGGTATCTGGCAATAAGGGCAGGGAAACATCAGCCAGTGGCACCCCCTACTATTCAGCCTCTACTCCTGTTTCTGGAGGTGCATGAACCTGCCCTGAACTACGCTACACAAACAGCAAACAGAAACTGTTCACATTTCCAGTCTCTATCACATCCACCAGGAGACTGGTGGTGAGTGCCTGAAAACACAGCAACATACAATCAATTAAATATAAATACAAATGACAGCACAATGTCTTAGAGAAAACAGTCAATTTCAGCTTACAAGAAGAAACAAGACAAAGTGCCTCAAACAAGTAACCAAAATACAGAGTCAGAAAACGTATCAGAAATGGTATCAGAATATGTAATTTAAAAGAATAACATTTAGGTACCTCCAACAAGTTGAGAGAAAGATTAAGGAAAGCAAGGAGATACAGAAAAAACTTGAGAAGAATTCCAGAAAACACTACAAGAACAAACTAACAAAATAAATGAAAAATTGGAAGCCATACAAGATCAATAATTAGAAAGTCAGAAGATTAACACTTCAGTAATAGATGACATACTGAAAGGGCAAAGAAGTAGAATTGAATCAATGGGAGGTGAATTGCAGAGCTTGAAGATAAATTTGACAATATTCACCTTCTAAAGGAACAATCCTGGAGTCCTGGTGTATTACTGTAGGATAAGCACTGGACCACAAGATAGTTTATTGTCGAGTTCCTATGTCGGGGTCCAGCCTCGACAAGGAAGTGTGGGTGTCACAAAGAAGGGAGATCTGGCAGTGAAAGGGATAGAGAAAGAGAGAGACGAAATATATACAAAAAAGACAGACACACAGATATGATGCAAGCTGGCAGGTAAGCAGATCTGCAAACATATTGCCTAGCATTGCACACAAAACTCACTCTACCTCAGTCTTTTATTCTCTTTTTTAGAGAGGGATTTGTTACAAAGGAAGGATGTAATTCACAAAGGGAGGATGTGATTCTTTAGATAAAATAGGATACATAACTGAAATATGATTAATAATTCAAAACAGGACATAATGATTCACAGAAACAACTTTTAAGATATTTTCATGGTTTTCTTAACAATCTAACATTTTTATTTTTACAGAAAAAAGGTTCAATCAAGCTGTTATATATTAATTTTTAGGCTTGAATGATCTAGAGCAGCGATGTGCGGTTTCTCAAGGATTCTTAACATAAAGCAAGGTTCCTGAAAGGAGCCAAGCTGTCTCTGTACACTTTGCAAACTTTTGTTTGTGAGCAAGATCTCAGGCACTGGGCTTCATTTATCTATATCTAAAATGCTACATCGTTCTCAATGATCACACTTCTATATACTTTCAGGAGGAAGGAGAGCATCTGGGTTAAACTGATTACATTCAGAGGCGGTTTAATGGGGCT